AAATCCGCGAGTAGCTCTGCTCCATCGATGTCAAGCGTCCTCGCTCCAAGAAAAACGCTGTCACAGCATCACTTCCACTTTCTGAGCACGTAAAACAACCAGGTTACACTCAATGTTATGATGTAGATAGTAGCAGTCGGATAGTACACTTACTCTCCAGCAGCTTCGTAAGGTGCAAGAGTACTTGCCCCAGTGCCAGTTTCACTGCACTACTCTCAAGATCTAGGATCGACGGTAGTGCGATAGCATCGAGAATATCAGGCACATGTGGAAGCACCATTTTGTCCAGTGAACCTTGAAGGAAGCAGTGCAAGACCTGTAAAGCCATTGCTTCCTGTGAAGCAGCAGAGGCGCCACCTCCCATCGTTGCTGCGAGTGGCACAACAACGTCTGAATCTCCTCGGATGCGCGAAAGTATTAAAGGCAAATAGGTTCTTGGGGCTGCAAAACGTCCCGTGAGATCAGCGCACTGCCTCAGCTCCGGGAGCAGATCGTGATCGCCACCCCAAGTCCGCAGAAGTGTATTCACTAACAAATGCACGTCCACCGTAATGGTCTCTTCACAGTAAACAAGCACACACTTCAAGAGGCGCACTGCATGAGCGCGAGTGGAATCTTGCCAATTGGCAAGCTCACGCAAGATCGGGTTAAGGAATCGTCGAGCTCGTCCACGTACAAATAGCCGCGTGCCTAGGGACGGTCGGCCAGCGACAAATGGCTCAGGCAAAGGAGCTCGGTAGTTGTACATGGGGTTCTTGCCGTCCACTCCATACTGCTTGATTTCAATAACCTCTTCTCCATGTTCTCGTTCGTATCTCTCTCCTAGAATCTCAAGAGTTTTCAGTGCGTCTCCAGAAATTTCAGGATCCTCATCGCTGACTGCACTGAGCAAATATGGCAGCAAACGGGACTCGTGATCGTAGCGGTCGGGAAGGTTGACCATCCAGTCGCTGATCATTGCGAAAAATGCACGACGTACCATGGGATTCCGGTCTTGATCGAGCTTGGCAAAGTAGTTTAGCCGTACTTCGGTTGTGTAGAATGACGCCACAGGGATAACGTTCTCGTCGCGATGTCCGATAAGATCGACGATGGCCTCAGTGCCACTGCCTTTGCATTTCTCGACATTTGGACACGTCACCAGTGCACGAATCGTTTCCACGGCTGCAACTCGTACACGTGCCAGTCGGTGAAGCAGCAGTGGCATGAGGGTGCGCACTGTTGCTACACTGAAGTGCTTCATGACGGAGACCATGTGGTTGCTAATACTCGCAAGGATTCGGCAGCTCGCGATGTTAACCTCGTGAAAGTCGTCGCGCACGCCACTAATCAGTACCAACAAGACGTCAAAAATGTACGCATGAAGGATGGATGACGCTCGACGCTCAAATGCGTTCTGCAAGACTGCGTCTACCAAGCCGAGTAGTAGCAGACGGATCTCTTCAGAAGGCTCGTCGGGCTTAATGTGAGTCACCTGATTCTCCGCCACATAGACTCTTCCGCGTTTGAAAGCGTCGTGTAGGAATTGGTCGCGTGAGAAGACCTGGTTCTCTTCGTCGTAGCCGTACTGGCTGTTAATGCGCTTCGTGATCGCTGGCATGAGATATGGCAAGTAGCGGAGCAGATCTTCCTCCTCTGCGATGCACTTTGTGGTAAGGCGAATGCAAACCTCGCGCACCTTCTCCACCGGGTCGTTGAAGCGCTTAAACAACGGCTTGGCCATCTCCACAAAGGCGTCAGTCGCTGCGCTCTGAGCCGCCTGCTGCTCTGCATCGTTCAGGAACTGCGTTTCCAGCGCAATGGCTGCCTTCTTGCGCACACCGCGCTGCTCAACCGCCAATCGATTAAGCATTTTCGGTAGACTGAAACTTTCCTCGTCCTTAGAAGGCTTGTTGTTGTTGCGAGTGGGAGAATGTGTCGTCGTGTGTGCGCTCGTAGCTCGTCGGGTGGAAGAGGTCTTGGCTTTCTTGGTGTTTCCTCCCACAGCCATTGACTTCTTTAAGAGCCGAGAGACTTCCACATTCCTGTACTCATTCTCCATCTCCAGCTCCTGCCACAGCGCATCCACATCTCGGCTCGCCATGACAAGTGAATCTAGAAATGCAGCGACGCCATGAGTCAGCGAAAGGTCGCGTTCCAACTAGGTACGATTTAATGCGTTTTCCACAAAGCAGAGGTGCGAAAGTTTCATGAACCAAGTTGACATAGTAACAATCACCCGTGTTCTGATAAGTTTTAGATGGCCCGCGAAAGTTGGTGTGGATTTCCCTATCTTCTGAACTCCCTACCGTACGGCATGATGAGACGGGCATTTTGTAGCCATGCCTGGGAATCCAGCAAGGATCAAGATCCTGGTGGACACTTTGGCGGATTTACTGGCGACGTAAACTTCTCGAAAATGTGTCACTCGCTCATGTGACCGAGAATCTATATGCATACAGACGTAGAGTTTCACTACCGAGACAATCGGAACCCTTCAGCATGCGTACGCACCTCAATGGAAAGATTACTGCCGGCCACGTATTTGACCAAGGCATCGCTGACGTCCACGACGTGTCGGAATTCGAGGTCAAGCGGGACCGAGTCACCGTCCGAGTCGACGTGGAACCGCGGCGTTTGCGTGCTGGTCTCACGAAAAAAGGTGTACCTCACCGAGACATGAGAGAATCGCTGCGGCGTGAGGTGGCTGAGTTCGCTGAGCTGCACACGGTACTGCACAGAGCGGTCCATGAACTCGTGGATCTGCTCCTCGGGGCTGTCTACATCTGTGCGTGTGTATGGCACGAACTCGCCCTCCAAGTGCTGCAACGCAGAAGCCGCATGAGTTGACAACTACATGTATACCGCCAATGAACTTGCCCACTTACTGCTGGAACCTGGACTGCTGTGACGTATGGGGTGATACAGAGCTGCAGGCGGCCTATTTCCGTGCCGATCTTCGACACGATTGGAGTCGACTCGTCCACGGTAAAGAAGTAGTTGAGCACGCCGAGATACACCACGCACTCACCAAGCAGCGACGGCTTGGAGGCTATTGACGACGCAGCCGTCATTCCACTTTGAGAAAACCGACTAAAACATTTTCCAAGGTCAAATTGTAGGACAAATTGTAGGGCTCGAATCGAGACTCATTATTATTATAGCCGAACAATTTATGGAGCTTCTGGTTCTGAGGAGGGCATTACCAAGCGGAATAGATATGGATAGCGTTTAGCAAGCGATGCTGCCACTCTGGATATGAGACTCAGCCTCGCTTTCTTACGTTTGTGTGCCACTACCACTGACGGCATCTCCCAATTGTGCCACCTAGCAGGCTATTCAAGACGAAATGCTCACAGAAAAGCAAGCGAGCAATCAAGCAAGCAACCAACATTCGTCGCTGGCAGTCATAGTAGCACGCCACGAATGAATCTATCACCGTTACCGATGTTCTACCAATAGGCCCTGCACGCCGCGCAAACGACTGGAGTTCGCACAAGGGGAAGACCGCAAGGCCAGCCGGAAAATCACTCGAGAGGCCAGCGTTCGCGGTTTCTCCATCTTCGTGGGGACGATGCTACATGCCGTCGTCAACACCAATGGCTTCCGAAGCTGAGCCTCACTTCACTTGGTTGCCTGGCACGACTCAAGACAAGACGAGCGATAGATCGACGCGTCAGTACTGACGCCAGATAGACCGCTTTCCTATTTACCGCCTGTGGAGCAGAGACTGAAAGCCGTATGCGCGAGACAATAATGAACCGAAGTAATAAAATGGCGGACCACTTCCGGCCCGCTTCTGCTGATTGTCGTATGGTTGTCCTAGCGACTTGCCCTGTTTAACGCCTTCACACAATGCTAGCTTGAAGTGCGTGGAGAATTTGCTTGGTGCCAAAGAGAGGTGGCCTGGCGTCGGCTTCTTCTCAGTGAGACCAACCCGACGACCCGACGTCGCTCCTTTGTCGGCGCCGATACAGTAGTGGCAACCACGCCGCTGTTTGGAAGCAACGAGGCCGCGTAGGAATTCGCCGGGACTGCAATGCCTGTTGCAATTGCAGGATCAGCTCTGCGACGTGCTTCCCCTGCGCATTGTTTACACCCGAGGTGGGGGATGGATATGCACTTTGTGAGTCATGGTCGGCCCATGATGCACAAAAAATAAAGAAACCTGCATTTTCTAAAAAAAAAATTAGACCGTGTCAGTGCCGGTTGCAAGACTCCGTTCGTGGTGGTCTTTTGCGAGCATGATGCAAGCCACAGAGGCGCTTCCTTAGCTTCCAGTATGGTAACACCGCATGGCAGTGACATACCAGCGCTGAACCACACACTACCTCGCCGTCCTCTTCCGCTACAGCCTGTTGATCCGCACACACCAAGCCCTGCTCAGTTGCAGCCATATTTTTTCGGGTTGCGAAAAATCAATTAAATCCTTCGAAAGCCGATGGAAAAACAGTAAAACCGATATGACTTAAGATGTGGAACCCATTGAAATAGAAGCTTTAGAAAGAGCCAGTAGTGGTCAGAACAAACTGGATTTCATTAAGAATTGATTCCCATTAAGTACGACTTGAAACGATTTATAGTTACATTCAAGACGATTTGAGTTGTAGAACGCCAGCAAGGCACTAATTCGTCGATTAATTTGTATCGCTTTTGCAATGGTCGAGACGCGGGTAGAAACCCAGTTCACAACAGGAAAAACCGCCCAGGCCCGAGGCTTGTGGACGGTCAACACTCTCGATTCCGCGCACTTTTCGCTAGCGCCGGTCTACTAGAAAGCGGTTGGAGACTCACAGGGACGAGAACACAGCGCCGCCTCTTCATCACATCGACGCCGTCATGGAGAAGGGCGTGGGCGTATGGCTTCGCGACGCGGAGACGGACGAGTGGCACCGCGCCACGGTTGTCAAGCTAGGTGAACCGCGGGACGACAGCGATGAGCGCGAGGTAACTCTGCGTCTGACCGAGGGCCCGCATGCGCGCACGGAGAAGACGCTGCAGATCGACGTACAGGCGCTCGAGGAGGAGCAGATCGATGGCGTGATGCTAGCCAACAGTAGCGACATGGTACGTTTGCAGGAGTGATGGTCACCCGATATCTGGTCACTAACTGGCGTCTCATTGTACCTATGACAGGACGTCGTAGAGGATCTGATTCAACTTCCGCACCTGCACGAGCCAGGCATTTGTCACACGCTGAACGAGCGCTTCAAGATCAACGAGATCTACACGCTCACAGGCGAGATCTTGCTAGCTATTAACCCTTTCCAAAACCTCGGCATCTACACCGACAAGATCACGCGCAAGTATATCCGCAATGGCGACAAGCGCGCGCTTGGACAAGAAGTGCCCGACATGCCACCGCACGTCTTCAGCATTGCGGATAAGGCGTACCGCTCGCTTGTTAACCCAATCGGACACAGCTCCAATGGAGGACCAGCCAACCAGTCAATCCTGGTCAGTGGTGAAAGTGGCGCTGGTAAGACTGAAACCACGAAGTTCGTGATGAACTATTTGGCCACCATTTCGCAGCACAAGAACGCCTCAGCCGACAGCAACGTCATGAAACAGGTTTTGTCGTCCAACCCGATTCTCGAGTCTTTTGGTAACGCGCGAACGATCCGCAACGACAACAGTAGTCGTTTCGGTAAGTTCATCAAGATGGAGTTCTCGTCGGAGGGAAGTCTTATCGGAGCGTCGATTCAGACGTATTTGCTGGAAAAGGTGCGTCTCGCGTACCAGGCCGAGTCGGAGCGTAGCTACCACATTTTCTACGAAATTATTGCTGGAGCCACCGCGGAGGAAAAGAAGCGATGGAATCTCAAGGCGCCGACCAAGTTCCACTATCTGAACCAGAGTACTTGCGTGAAGCGTAAGGATGGCGTGAACGATGCGGAGCAATTTGGTGTTTTGAAGAACGCCATGCAAACGATGGGATTTGATGAGGACGACATGGAGAGCATTTTCGTCACAATCTCGGCTTTGCTGCACATTGGTAACTTGGAATTCGATGAGACACACCATGCCTCAGGTACGGAGGGATCTGAAATCTCCAACATGTGCGAAGATTCGATGAAGGTGGTACTGGACTTCCTGGAGGTAGACAAGGATGGTCTTGAACAGGCAATTTGCAACCGCAACATCCAGACCAAGGACGAGCACTACTCAATCGGGTTGCTGCCAGATGCAGCTGAGAACGCGCGTGATGCACTTGCGCGATTCCTGTATGGAAAGCTCTTCGACTGGCTCGTTAGTCGCATCAACGAAATCGTGGAGAATGACGACCGCGATGTCCCGTTCATCGGTCTATTGGATATCTTTGGTTTCGAGGACCTGGAGCACAACTCGTTCGAGCAGCTGTGCATTAACTTCGCGAATGAAACGCTACAGCAGCACTTTAATCGCACTGTTCTGCGTATGGAACAGGAAACGTACGAGAAGGAGGAAATTCAGTGGAGCTTTATCAACTTCCCCGACAATGGTCCGTGCATCGACTTGATTCAAGGCAAGCCGTTTGGTATTCTTCCCGCTCTTGATGAGGAATGCATTGTTCCGCAGGGTAATGATCAGAACTTCGCACGAAAGTTGTACCGTCAGCACGAGCTGAACCCGCACTTTAGCGCTAGCAAGACGGAGATGGCCAACCACCTCTTTGTCGTACACCACTACGCTGGCGCTGTCACTTATGACACGTTCGGATTCTGTGAGAAGAACAAGGACATTTTGTATCCGGAGATCACTGCCATCATCAAGCGATCATCGAAGCCGTTCGTTCGTGGCCTTCTGCAGGTCTCGCCTGAAAAGAAGACACCGTCTAAGAAAACTAAGGGCCGCGCTTCCAGTATTGCTACTCGCGTTAGTCTTGGTCTGCAGTTTCGTACTCAACTGAAGACTCTGCTGGAAACTATCAACGTCACTGATTGCCACTACGTGCGATGCTTGAAGCCCAACGACAAGGCCAAGGCCAACTTGTTGGTGCCCAAGCGTGTATGCCTCCAATTGAAGGCTGGTGGTGTCCTGGAAGCCGTGCGTGTCAACCGTGCCGGATACCCCGTCCGAATTGCTCATCAGCAGTTTATCAAACGTTACCGTCCACTCGCCAACGGCGAGTACTTGCAACGCATCCCTGCAGAAGCAGCGGAAGAAGTTTTTGACAGTACTGAGCGCAAGGAAGCCGCGAGTTTACTGGTGGAGTTCTTGCTCAAGGCTCATGCCGAGCGGTATCCTGAACTGGCTGGTGTGTCTTCGGACAACCAGGAAACTGCTGTCGCTGGAATTCAAGTTGGTCTCACTCGTGTCTTCTTCCGTCGTTCGGCCATTCAGTTCGTGGAGGCCCAGCTTGCCAAGCGCTATGGCGAGTTCGTTGTACTGATCCAGGCTGCTGTTCGCGGTCTGATTGCTCGCCGTCGCTACGCTCGCATGCAGGTATCAGCAGTGGTGCTGCAGAAGGTGATCCGCGGCTTTAACACTCGTTGCCGATTCTACAAGCTGCGTGAGCGGCACCGCGAGCTGAAGCGTCAAAAGGAACTTGCCGAGAAGAAACAGCGTGAACAGGAGCGCCGAGCCGCTGAGGAACAGCGAATTCTGGACGAGAAGCGCAAGGCTGCTGAGCTCGAGGAGCAAAACCGCCTCACTGCCCAGTCTGCATCGTCTGATCCAGTCTCGGATGACTCATCGGACGGAGACCGCGGTTCGTCTATGAAGCTGCCTAGGTACTCCAGGAACTCGGAAGAGAGTCGTGGCAGTCGCGCCGTGTCCCGCTTCCGCTTTACCAAGGACTATGGTGACGAGGACTACTCGATGCCGAACACCTCTCGCCAGGTTGCAATGGACCCGGGTGACACGGTGCTGCATGTGGCTGCCAACTGCTGCAACGAGCAAGATGTGCTTAAGTTACTTCAGAACGGCTCCGACATCAACGCTCGCAACCGCCGTGGTCGCACTCCGCTTCACACTGCGTCTCTTTACCAGAACGTCGAGGTTGTAGGCATCCTTTTGGACTGGGAAGCCGACGTTCTTGTTCAGGACGACGACGGCAACACGCCACTGCACTTGACGAAGGACCCGCGTATTGCTAGAATGCTGCTGGAAGCTGGTTGCACACCTAACATCGTCAATGCGGATGGCCGAACTGCCCTGATCAATGCTGTGGACCGCGGTGATGCCAAGACGGTGAAGCTACTGCTTCACTTCAAGGCTGATGTGCTATTCCGTGAGCTGAAGCACCACCAGACTGCTCTTCATTTGGCTGTGCGCAAGGGTCACTACCAGATCGTCATGGAGCTGTGCAAGTCTGATGACATTCAGGATTTGATTCTTCTGACTGATCGCAATGAGAACAACGCGCTTCACTTCGCTGTGTCTCGCGATCGCAAGAACGGATACCGTCTGGTGGATTATTTGATCAAACACGGAGCGGAGGTGGACAAGGTGAACGCCAGATTCCAGTCCCCACTGGTGGTTCACATCATGACGACTCGCCAGACTGATCCTGCCATCACAGAGCTTTTCCTTTCAAGAGGAGCCGACCCGAACATCCAGCTTGCCGATGGATCGACGCTTCTTCACGTTGCTGTTGAGCGTGAATTAATTGATATCGGCTGTGCCCTAATCAAGCACGGAGCGTCGCTGAACGCGCCAGACGCCAAGGGGAGAATGGTGATTGAGGTGGCGAACAAGAAGTTTTTGAAGAAACTATTTAGCGCGATCACACAGCCGCCCACGTGGATTGACGAAAAGGAGCGTCGGTCGTGCATGTTGTGTAGCTCAAATTTCAAGTTTGGCAACCGACGCCACCACTGCCGCCACTGTGGACGTGTATGCTGCTCTGACTGTTCAGCGTTCACCGTGGAGATGCACCGTTTCCCGAAGGAATTCCCTGGACGTATGACAAATGGCGGTAAACAGGTCAAGGACCCACAGCGCGTGTGCCGTACGTGCCACGCTGTGTTCAAGATGCGGTCGGCTCAGAAGGAGTCCAAGTCGGGCTTCATGGCGCGCGTGCTCGGGTATGAATGGGACGAGGTAACTGCAACCAATTGAGCATGATCCCATACAGAGCACTAGCAAGTAGAAGGGAAGTCCCTGACGATGTCTTCGCGCGTGGATGACATCGTAGGCATGTGTATGTCTTTCCATACCTATCTATCCTAGCTGTAATAATTGGAGTAGCGCGAAAGAAATACATCATCCATTTGCGCTTCAAGTTGCAGCTTCAGCTTTGCTACTTCTCCGAAACATCTACCAGTCTCATGGTGTCAGGAACAAGGTAACCACAGTCTGCACGGAGCCCCAAGCCGCCAAGACCATCGCTAGTTGCCATACCGTCGAAGCACTGACATGTACCTGTATTATAGTCACAAACACCACTACAACCAGCAATAATGTAAGTCAGCACTAGAAAAAAAAAATAGCACCCACAGTCTGTAAACGTACTTGTTGGAGCACTCAGCGTTCTCATTGGTGCCGCGAATGGAGCCGCTAATCCCGTCGCTATTGATCGTGAACACAGGTAGCAAAACTGTGTTGCGGTCGGCGTTTACTTGCAGAGGTGGCAGATCTCCCAACGCCGATATGAACGTGATGGAAATGATGTTGGCCGGTTGGCTGCTGAGCGTGCATGCGCCACTATTGGGACCCGCGGAGTACGATACTTGGACATCACCGATGGTTGGAACGGTGGCAAGAGCAGCTTTCATATCCGCTGCAAACATATTCGACGATAACACTGGTGATACTTTCCCTCGAAAACTAAGCGTGAACGTGGCAAGTGCCGTGTAAACGCAGCGAACAGTCTGCACTTCACGCGTCTGGCCTGTTGTCCGAGGATCATCACCGCGTGGACATGAGCGTCGCGCACAGTCGTGTCCCTCGTACCCTTCGTCGCAGATGCAGCCCTGAATCTTGTTGAAATCCCAAGTTCTAGGATCGTTTGGTGTGCTGCTGTACGTAATGCTAAGTGGATCTTCAAGACTGTTGCGAGCTTCCAGCGCTAACTCGGCCATTGTGAGACAGCGGCCGTGCCCATTGCAAACAGGTTCTGAACCTGGAGGACACGTAAGTCGTTCACAGGCAGCTCCTTCGAATGGCGCCGGACACGTGCACTCACCAAGTGAAGTATCGCACACACCGACTCCTGAACAAACTGCCATCGAGTGAGCACGGTTATCTCCTATGGGCGTATCGAACCAGGCAATTCCTTCTGGACAAGTCCGGACCGAGCAATCTCCAGACGTGAATCCAGCTACGCAGAAACAGCGAAACTGAGGTGGCCCAGAGCAATAGCCATGGCCGCTGCAAGCTGTTTCACCCTGCTCATAGTACCCTCGTTAGCGACCAAGTAGTGACGACGCATTGTTTTACATACCGGGCATGCGATGATGATGGAGTCAGTGGCACCGCAGTCACCACGGTCGCCTGGGCCGCCCATTCCATCACTGGTGGTGTAGCCCACGTAGCAGGTACAAACACCAGAAGTCAAATCGCATCGACCACGGTTGGAGCATGCTTCATTCTCCTTGGATCCGACCTCAGGTTTCGAAATCGTCAATTTCGGCGTCATTCCGATACCTGCGTGCATCAGTAGAGACGAATCTCCGACCAGCAGAGGCAAGCTGTGCACCACATCGAGCAAGTAAGCACACCAAACGATGAGTAAACTAAAGATGTACTTCGAAGTATCATTCTTACGGCCCAAAGTTTTGTGTGAACTCAACAGTGACCATGTTGCCGTCTGCAGTGCACATTGTCGTACTGTTACCGCCAAAAAGTATGTTCACGTTTTGGAGCGTGTGCAAAGCCTACGAAGGAAGTGCGAAACATTGTCAATCTGAGAGAAACCATTGACAAACCTAAAGAAAATGTAGTAGCGCGTACGTTGAGTTTCTTGCTCACAACATCAGCATTGTCTAGAGCATCTATACGGACTGTCGTTTTGCCTCGGAAAGAAAGAGTTAGCGTTCCGCTCTGCCGTTTACACAGCATATTAGCACGCAACAAAGTAGTAAAAGCAAAACCGAATATACGCACCGTTGCAGCGCAAAAGACAGTTTGTTTCTCGTTCTTCTGAAACCCAAACAAAGTGTCTGTGGCGGCACCCGTAAGTGGGTCGTCGCCGCTGGGACACAGGCCTGTACGAAAAAGAATTATGACAAACGGCCTTTGTCAGAATATTACAGATCAAACTGATGACAGCAACGTGGTTCTTACGATCAGAGCAATCACCGCCTCCGTATCCTTCTTCACAAACGCAACCATGTACCATTTCACTATCCCAGACAGAGTTGTAGACAACCGCTGGTGGCAGTCCTTTGTCCTTACGCAGTGCGTGGAGTTTCATGGATTGGCATTCGCCGTGCTTGCCACAATCGTTAGGACAGCTCACTACATCCAAGTCATTCAGATTGTGAGAGCCACATCGCCTTGCATACTACCAGTAAGCCAACGCGTACTTCGATTACACGCAAGACCGGAGAAACCAACGTCACAGATACACACTCCCGTTGCATGGTCACATGTTCCACGATTCGAACAAACCGCCGGTTGGTGAGCGCGGTCTGTCCCAACCGCGATGTCGTTCCACGCGGGTCCCGTCGGACAAATGCCTAAAATTCAATACCAAGCGAAGTCCATATACAACAATAGCTATTGATAAAGACTTGCTACAATAACCCGCTACAGCAACAACGCACGTCGGGAGCAGTCACCGCCTGTAAAGCCTTTGTAGCACGAGCAGAAGTAGCCGTTTCCCTTGGTTGTGCATGTGCCGTGACCACTGCAAGTGTTAGGGCAATCTCCATGCACGAATTGCCACTCTAACAGCACAGTAAAGACGACCACCACAAACCACTGCGAGCGATTCATTGTTGAAGTGCCCTCGTATACGGCCCTTCATGACCAGTAATATGTGGACCACTTCAATATATGTTCTACACATCGCTTGTCACTCAGCCACACAAGGCACAATTGCACCATGATGCGGCGAATTGGACGACGAGCTGCAGCGGCGGCGCTGGCCTCCACCGGTCGTGGACGCGTGGTTGGCCATGGACGAGCGTTACTGGCTGCCCAGAACTGCATCTCCAATGGTGCTCACGCTTTCAGCTCCGCAATTAGCGAGAAAGAGGTGCATATTGAGCTTCATCTGATGCTGCTATGAGGATTGATTTGTTGGGTCGTTACTGATACTTTACTGCTACGTACAGGCCTACGAAGCGTTCGAGAAGGCAAAGCAACTGCTGGATGGCGACGATCTGCCGCAGGCCATGGGATATCTGGGCGTGGCAGCACACGCCAACATTGCTGACGCGCAATACCTGCTGGGCTCGCTGCTGCTGAACGAAGACGACGAAGAAGAGGAGGATGATGCACAGCGCAAGAACAAGGAACTCATCCGCGATGCTGAGGCCAATCGCCAACGCTCTCGACGCGCGGACGACGCACAAAACATTAAGGAGATCCGGAAGGAGGCTCGCGCAGCCTACAAGCAGTATTTGATAGAGCAGAAGCGCAAGAAGCAGGCTAAGGCTGAGCGCTCGGCTAGTCATACGTCAATAGTGCAGCACGCTACGACGGGAGAGCTGGACCGCGCGTTTGGCAAGACAGTGGAGCTCCTGCTGGACCCAGAGTCAAAGCTCGAGCCACTTCTTGAGAATGGCGACGAGGACTACGCAGATGTTGCCCAGACTCAAATGGATACCACAAAAGCAGTGGAATGGCTGCGGCGTGCAGCTGACAACAGCAACCGCGATGCTCATGTACAGCTTGGCAACTTGTGTTTAAGCCACGACCCTCCGATGGCACTGGAAGCCAGCGCCTGGTACACTCGCGTCACAAAGGACGAGAATCCGCACCCGGATGCACTGTACAACCTCGGAGTGATGCTATTCGAAGGAGTGCAACATGCAGAGCCGCCGTTCCCGGGTAACAAGGGCGCGTCGATTCCATTCTTCACTCGTGCTGCAGAGGTGGGTGATGTGTCGGCCCAGTTTTTCATGGGAATGCTACTGCACCAGGGCGACAAGGATCTGGAGATCGAGCCCAACTTCAGGAGTGGACTTATGCTCATTGAGATGGCGGCCAGTAAGGGCCACCCGGCTGCGCTGTACTATCTGGCGCAGCTTTATCGTTCCGACGATGAAGCCAATGACTTCGCTGCAGACCATACCAAATTCTTTGAGCACTTAGATAAGGCCATGGAGGCCGGCGACGCAGACGCTTTCTTCTGTATGGCAGACATCTACTTCCACGGCAGTGACGGATTCGATCAAGACTACGAGCAGGCTCACGGATTCTACATGGCTGCAGCGGAGCAGGGGCACGCCGACGCATTCTGCTGTCTTGGTGCTCTTTACTACAACGGCATTGGTGTGGAGCAGGACTTTAAGAAGGCGTTCTTGTACTATCAGGAGGCTGCTGACCGAGACTCCATGGAGGCGTGGAAGAATCTTGCTGAAATGTACATGGTCGGTCGTGGTGTGCCTCGCAATGAGGCTACAGCTAACGCTATTATCAAGATGCTCAAGAAGGTTGGGGCCGAGGAGCAGAAGAAAGTGTGAGATAGCAGCTCTTCAAGCCGGCTGAGTGGCTAGCAAGGTTTTGTTGCTCAATACACAATAGAGTTACCATTCACTATGTCAAATGCCGTGCTAGTAGGCGCATGAGTTGACCGAGACCGTTCTGCTGAAAGGACACTCCAAGTATTGTGCTACATGTTGTTGGTCCAATTCAATCTTGAAACGACTGTCTATCAAGCATGAAGCGAGGGCGGAAGTCGCCACTATTGCTTCCTGTCCTAGCACTGCTATGGGTGACGTCGATCAACGCAGTAAGGTACATGAAGAATGGATGCCTGTATGTCTTTGTTTGTGCTCTGAATACATAGCTGGCACAGTCAGACGCTTATTGCTCGGAACTTGGTATACCACGTCGACACTGGAGCGGAGCAAGTTCTGTATCTAAAGGGCTTTAACTATGATGGTGCAAAGGTATCAACTTCAATGGATGAAGCTACGAAAGGGAAATACACGTTGCTAACTGTGGGGCTCTTCGTTAATTCAGTTATCGTACACGATCACGTCGCTACCGCTGAACGGAGAAATCTATCAGCTCTCGCAAATCTACAGCGAATATGGGTAAGCCTCGCCGATGGTATCATCGTAGACTGAATCGCCTAAACTTGTTTGCTGAAATTCAGCTACGAGCCGAAGCGTGCGGCATCACCGATAGCAACAGTGCCCACGACAGTCACGGGCTCTAATAACCGAATTGTGTTTTTACGTACTCCTTTCGGAGGACCTCGAAGAGACAATAAGGTAAGGAAATGAAGGTGAGGCAAAACCAAGATGAACTTTGTTTGCTGATTGTTTTACGCTGTGCTCATGAAGTACGCTGAGTTTCGATATACTGTCACGGATGGGGTGGCTGTATCGAATGAGGGCATCGTCGTTATCACTACGAGTGATGCGTTGGTGTCTAGCACATTCGACCTGGATATCGACAACTGGAGAATCTTGTGGAACGGGGCAGGTGCCGATTCAAGGCCACATTTTCAGCCCATTTCTCGTGGAGTGCAGCTTAGTTACTATATCTACGGCCTCGATGCTGTTGTCCATCGTCGTGAGGACACCGGCGATGATTCTATGCTTTGGTACTTCACTGCCCCGCCCAAGTTTCTAGGTAACCACTGGGCTGCCTATGGCGGCTCACTAGACTTTGTGCTCTCATCGGCAGAGGGCAGTTTTGATGCTACGAACTTGAACCTCGCGGGAATGGGCCACCTCGTCGAGTTGGAGTGTGCGACTTGTGCACAATTCACAGGACTAACGCTGGCCATGCCCCTTAGTCCAGTGTTTTCGTACGACGGAACCATCACGCAGTTCAAGCTGCCTTTGAGCGAGCTTGCTGGTTGGGTCAAGGACCCAAAGAACGTCATCTTGTCATGGTCACCACCTACGCAGTGCGAGTTTGTGAGTGTACTTTCAGGACTCTCAGCCTTGAGAATTCTAGGAGATTTCACGCGAGGCTACGAGAGCGTCGCATTAGACTCAGTCGTTCTACGACATGGACCAGGGCAGCCCGTGAAATGCTATACCTCAACAGTTTAAGGCATTCAATTGACCAACAATTTGCCACCCACAGCTTGTTCTAGACACGTCTTGACATATTTCTTTTGATTCTCACGACTAGTAAGCCCCCGGAGGTGGTAGTTCCGCTGGACTAGGGAAGAGAACTTCAGCCTGAATCGGGTAGTGATCCGATGGATAGCGGCCCTTACGATCTTCGGTGATGACTTCCGTCGTCAGCACCTTCATCTGCGGACGGTAGAAGATCCAGTCAATGTGGTTTGCAGCACGAACAGCAGTTTTTTCGCCGTCATTCTTAACACCAGCCCAGCCGTGATATGTGTACGACACGTCACCAATTTGTTTCGCCGCTTCGGGCCATGCTTCACGTAGTTGCGGTCCTCCCTCTTGGGATGTGAAGTAGCTGTACGTGCTAGTGTGGCGGTAGGTATTAAAGTCTCCCATGAGGAAGAGTGGGGCATCACCTGCAATCTGCTGAATGCGTTCCCACAGTAGCTTTGAGCCCTCTTCGCGAGACTTTGGACCCACATGATCCAGCTGCGTGTTGAAGACGAAGAGCTCTTGCTGCGTAGCGCGCAGTCGGAATTTGCCCCATGTGACCATACGTACGCATGCGGCGTCCCATCCCTGGGTACCGGGTGTGTCTGGTTCCTCCGAGAGCCAAAAGTTCCCATCGTCCAGACGCTCCAGCACGGCTGCATCATAGAAAATCTGCTCGAACTCGCCGTTCTCCTCACGCTCGACACCGAAACGTTCGTACGGGTGGTTCAGTAAGCTCTGTGCATTAATAAGCATCAGCAACTCATTTTACACCTAGTATCTTCAAAATGTACTCACCTCCAGCTCCGCCAGCTGCGTCTTCAGTCCCTCCTGCGTGCCCATGATGGCAGGATGGTAGCGGTCGATGATGTCGGCCACGTGGTCTTTACGGTAGCGCCAGCTATTGAGGCCGTCACCTGTTCCGGCGAATCTCAAGTTGAAGGTCATTATCTTGAGACTCAGCGGCGAGGAGCTCAGCGTCTGCTTCTGTTGCTTCTGCTGCATCTCTTGATCAGTTGTCGCCTCCTGGTTCGTCGTTGCCGCTCGCAATCTCGGGCGGTTCTCGTTGCCTGACAGTGCGGCCGCAGCCTCCGCCTGTTGGTCGATGGACGCGGGGGTGCCGCCCAGTGGAGCCACGTTTTGGAAGCTCTGGTACCCCACAAAGAGCATGAAGACTACAATTGTGCCCACTAGCACGAAAATGCGGTCGCTCGTGGACGTTCGAGGCCGACGCGACTGCGAGTGGCGATAGTACGGATTGCGCGGCGCCGAGTTGTTCGGGAAGAATGAGTCGAACCCGTTCATGTCCAAGCTGCAGAGGTGAAGCTGCTGCGTCTACAGATTCGAACTGGTCCCGTGATCGACTGCAACGTCACTGACATTCTATTGGGTGAAAATGTATCCGCTTCGTGGTCAAATCAAAACAAAATACTTACCTGATTGGCTAAAATCTGCATTTGTGGTTTTGGTGGATTAGAGTGGGAAGTCGATCCAAGGTTTGAACTATGGCGGACGCGGACGCGCTATTCGCTATGGAGACGCGGGCCATCCGCGAGGCACAATTGGAGACGTACACGAGTAACTTAGGATCTATAGCGCTGGTACTAGCGTCATTGCTGTGGCTGACACTGCCGCCTCTCTGGAGCGTCGTCAACGGCGAATGGAGCGCAGCCATCCTGCCCAGTCTACTGGCCATCGCAGGTTTATTGGATTTTTTTTATTGTGACTGCGCTATGGACTGGTAGATAACGGTAAACTTGTTGGCGTTGCAGGTCATGGTGTGTTTGTATTGTCGGTGCTGCTGGTGTTACGAGTGGCGCAAGTACAGGGGGAGGAGCTGCTTATTCAATTTAATGCTAAGGTGGGCACAGTTTTTAATTCTCAAACGGAGTCGTACAGCTGACCAATTTATTGCATGCTAACAGTATTTGGCACGAGTTAGCAAGCCCGAGGCTGCCCGTACCCCGCTGGATCGTACTGCGCAATGTACGTTGCTGTATTCAGCGAAATGGGTAGATTGGTAGTTAATTTATTGCCAACGAATGTTCCCCTTAGTGGACGAGGTGATGAAGCTCAATTCTTTGCGCGGACGATTGTCTGGCAAGAAGAACTCGTCGGATACAAAGGGACAAACACAGGAGGATCGCTCCTTCTTCGATCCTGCACCCGTGAAAACCGTGGAGGACGGTAAGGCGTATCTTCGTCGTCTTCAGAAGGCTCAGAAACAGAAGGAAGCGGAGGAATCTATGCAGTCAGCCTCAGCGTATGGGATGGAGAACTCGTATCAGAGCGACGCTTTCGGCATTTATGGCAATGCGTCCATGGTCCCTCGTGTGTATCAGGCTTCAGGCTTCGACCCGTACCTTCGTGACGTCAGTATCGGAGACGAGGAAGAAGACCCATTGCGCACGTCGTCACTTCCACACATTGCGTGGCAGCAACTGGAGGAGTGGGGACTTGCCATGTTCATGCACTTGTACTGCCGCAACATCCGTCGCTTGCTTGCCTATCACGTGAAGGACGTCGTGGAGGCGTTCTTGGAGAATGCTAACGCTCTCAACGAGTGTGGCGTGATGGCGGACGTACTGCTGCGTCGTGTACCGTCGCAAGCGCTGCTGTGTCCGCCGGGCCAAACGAACCAGATGACCAACGTGTCGCTCTCGGATATGCTGCAGAACCTCGCGAAAAGTCCGTTGTTTTTCAGCAAGGAGCGAGGCGTGTATCTCTTCGAGGAACACCAAAGTGTAAGTTTGACAAGCTGTCTAGGAGTTTACAGTCTCACTGACCGTGTTGTGTGAACTTAAATAGTTCGAGAAATACCTGAATGTCGGTGATCCCAGCAGCACGGACTATTCCTCGCTCGAGCGTCAACAATATGTGTTAGAGCGACTTATCATGTTGTCCAAGGATCGAAGTCTTGATCGGTTCCGATGGAACAAGGGATCAGCTTGGAAAGGCAAAGAGTGGACGGAGAACTTGCCTACAGATGCTGAGATTTTGATAAACACGTTCTGCTGCATGATGGACAACATGCTACCTGCAGACAATGAACGCGACCGCCCATTCTGGAAGTCCTACTACTTCAGCAAGGGCCCGAACCGGCCGTTCACCCCACGAGTGCGCAGCCGACTTTTCCTAGTGCAGACAGTGGGGCGCCCACCTCATTTTAAGGCGCTGGTGAAGGGTGCAGTTCGCGAGATCGTCCCGGTACGTTGCTGTTGCGTCGTACTACTTGACACGCTCAGTGATGTTGGGCTAACTGACTGGATGGGTTCTTTGTAGGGCGAGGAGAACTGTTTCCACGCAATCGTTGTCTATCTTCACGCCGTGAAGAAGATGAAAGCTGTACGTGATTTCTTTGTGGTTGGACAGATATTTGCGCTCTTGGACTATTTTCTAACTCTCTTGCTCGCTGCTTTGTCATGTCTAGGGCTACTTGGAGAGCATCAATCTGCACCGGATCATCGAGCAAGTCTTTGACGTTTCCAAGTAACTCACATCAGCAATAAACGCAGCTTAGTAAGTTGCATCGCACTTTGCTGCTTGTACCTGTTATCCAACTTTGTCATGCGTGTTTTACCTGCACCTCACCGGACAGGAACGTTCTTGGTGCAGTCCTTTTCATGAGCTTTGAGGTTCTCTCGGGTTTTGAAGGTTTTCTGGCGTGTCGCTGGGCAATACGAACACGCGTATGGTCGCTCGTTCTGATGCCGCCGTTGCCAATGTCGCTTCAAAGTCTGCAAGTTTCTCAAACTCCGACCTGTGGATTCCGCATACTCGCACTCTTCCTCAGGACAATGTTTGGGTCCTACAGGAAGTGGAGCCTGCTCTCCTGTCACCTCCGTCATGGATCTTTCTGGATGCTGCTTACCGTGAAATGTGAGCTGATAGAAGTTGGCAAAGCGGTTGTGGCAGATGCAGCACTCAAACGGCTTGAACCCATCTCGAAGCATTTCAACTGGAGCAGTCAACGCCGGTGCAACACTCACAGCACTTATAGTACTCACAGGCACTTCAGTTGGTGGACACGTTCCAGCTGCGTCAATAGAAGCTTGGCCACGCAGTCGCAATACCTCTGCCTTTAACTGCTCGATCTGATCCTGCTGTGCTCGAATCGTGGCTTGAAGGTATCTGTTCTCATCCGCCGGTACTTCACCAGTATGGGACGAATCTCCGCGGATTATCTGACGAATATTGTTTGGATCCTCTTCAGCATTCAGCGATCGATCAATCACAGTTCTAACTGTTCCAGAAGGCGACAATGAGGTGAGCGCTGCTGCTGCACGGTGAGCGGCATGGACCTTCAGGTGAGCCATCAAGAGCTCACGGACGCGAAAATGCTTCCCGCATTCTTGACATACGAACGGTGTCGCTTGTGTACCCTGGGCTTGCACCGCATTAGCGTCAGCGTCGACGTGTACATTTGGAGGGAAGGCGATCTGCGGGACGTGGGTGGATCGGTGGAAGCGCATCGCAGCACGGGACGAATAACGTTTACTGCAGCCCGGGACACCACACACGTAAGGTTTCTCACCAGTATGGACACGAATGTGCTCCTGTAACGTAGACGCTCTGGCAAATAGTTTGTTGCAGGTCGGACAGCTCAGCTTCTTCTCACCTGTGTGTACAACCGTGTGATCTCTCAGATGGGCGCTGTCCGTGAATGACTTGCCACATCCAGGGTGCATACAGAGGAAGTTGCGCATCCGCATAGCGCCTGGAATCCGCTTGCGCTTCCTGGTAGGCGCTGCTGAGGTTGAATTTGTTATCACTGCAGTGGGTGGCGGTGGAATCGCTAACGTGCATGTCATGGGCAGCGGCAACGCCGCCAACGTCGAGTTCATGGTCATCGTTGCACCACCAGTGCTAGCATTTGCACTCTCCACAGCAGCAGCGTTTAGGCCTCCGAGGCCACTACCTGTCTGTACCATCTCCTGTCGTTGTGTAGTATCCACCATCGTTGCTCTAGTCGACGGGCCATTGCTGTAGTGGTAATAATGACCGCCCGTCTCATTCCCAACAGCTTCAGCACTTGGTACACTGGTAGTGCCCGATCCAGGGGCCGAGCAGGTCAATAAAACGCCCAATGGAGGCGGAGGCTGATGTGTTACCGCTGCTAAGTATCTGGGTGTCAATGGAGACGGCGACCAACGTGGCAATGGAACCGATCGAAAGCCTGCAGTGCCAGCGGCCGTTGATGACGCAGGATTCGACGTGTTCGACGGCGCAGGATACGCTCTCATTGGCTCCACGTCTGCAAAGCACAATCCCAACATATTTACCGTTAGAATCAACTAGTTACGTTGGAAGCATAAGCAAGTTGATGCACCACCTTCATGGGGAAAAGACGCCAGTCCCGGATTGGTTGGTACGGCGCGTTCGCGGGCCCCTGAAGCTAGAAAGAGGCCGACGGAGCCTCGAGGTGCAGATGAGCTTGTTTGTGCCGGCGTAGATGCCGCTGGGACCGTATGACGAGCGTCAAGCAGCGATCTCTCCATGACCCCGCCGAAGAACTGGTCGGCGACGAACTCAGAGTTGAAGAAAATATTTGATTGGATATAATTGTTGAACGCCATACGATGATTGGTTGAAGGAAATCTATGAAGGGTTTTTTGTTTAGGAAAATGCTCAACATGAACTAGAAGTCAAGCTCCTTGAGGCCAAGCCACTTGGTCATGTACAGGCACGAACGCGGAGAAATGACGTTCCCTTCCTGGCACTGGTCGAACACCTGGAAAAAAAAAATCAACGAAAACGAGAAAATTTGACGTCAGAAACAAAAAAAATGCCTGACTTGAAAAATTCGACGCACCGGACATACACCACACGGAGTCTCCGACAGGTAGTTGAACGTCGTAATTTGCTGTGAAACTTTGTACTTGACCTCGTGAGATGCCTACAAGAAGCAGAATATTGGCGATGAGGTGAGACAGAGACCACGACATACCGACAGGCGAAGCAGCAGTTACGTACACCAGGTGTGAGACGCACAGAGCGCACTTCCTCGACGCGACCATCGTACATGAGCGTCTGAATGATAGAGCGAATCTCCTCTGGACCCAGCGCCACCTTGGAGATGCCCGAGGCATGCACTTTGTCTGTAATCGCGTTCAACGTGCTCATTCCTGACGCCTTGATCACTTCGTACACGAACGTGCTGAGCGTGTCAATAAATACGTGATCGAACTCCTGCTCATTGTACCACGGGCCACCAGTAATCTCCGTCGAAGGCACTACAATCAGCAGTATATAGCATCATGCAGCAACATGTTAACACTACTTTCTTCATCATTTTGCTTCTCTATCCTCAATAACCCCACAGTCGACTTACCCAGGTCGAACAGCATGTACAGCTTCTTGTTCTTGCTGCTAATCGACTTGACCGACTTGACGAGACGGCGTGTCTCCAGCAGCCGCAACGTCTTGGTCACAATTTGCTACACGTAGAAGTAAAATATTCAGTCCTTCGTCAGCATTTTATCTTTACAACTCTTGTTAGCCTAGCAGCATTGTACGCACCTGTGGGATATTAGTATGTGACTTGATATCCCTGGTCCAGATGCCCTTGTTGCCTGCGCGCTCGATCTCCTGCAACACCAGGCGCTGCTCCAACCTGCCAAGTATTAACGCGAACAATGAGTATGTCCTCCTCAAAAGCTCCAATGTGCGCCAATACTCGCGCATCCGAAACATACGTGAGTCCTCGAATACGCTCAGCTTCTTCGGCGTCCACGATGCCATAGGAGAGCACACTGCCCTTCTTGAAAATCTTGATCTTGCCCTCGGTCAGCAGCGCATTGATTACGTCGGGAAGCTGCTCGTAGCCACCACCACCTTCGGCCTGGAAGTAATCGCGCACCTCTGCGTCCGTCACAGGCTCCCGGTAGTTCTTCAACAGGCCCAGGAACTTGGCCATGACGCTAGGCGCGCCGCTCTTGGACGACGAAGCCATGGCTGGTCGGGTACAACTATAAAGACTGGCAGAGATGACCAAAGAGACACGATGTATGATTGGGTGAAAATTGAAATTCCGGTTTCTCATTGGACATAAAAGTCGACTCTCGTGCTCGCCAACCAGTCAACTATCACACTAGCATTGGCTGCGACGTCGTCATGAAGTTCGCGTACCAGTTCCAGCACCTGTGCGGCAGCGTCTACTCGCAGGGCAACGTGGTCTTCACGCCTGATGGCAACTCGGTGCTCAGCCCTGTGGGCAACCGCATCACCCAGTTCGACCTCGTCAAGTTCGTACACATTGATACATTGGCAAACTGATATATTGGCCACTAATCTTTCGCAACAATTGTTGATTATTGCAGCAATACATCACGGACTTTCGCCTTTGAAGCGCGCAAGAATGTGGAGCGTGTGGCTGTCTCTCATGACTCGCGGCTATTGCTGGCTGTGGACGAGGACGGCCGTTGTTTGCTTGTCAACTTGAAGCGTGGTGCAGTACTGTACCGCTTTCACTTTAAGCAGCCTGTCAAGGCCTTAAACTTCAGTCCCGACGACCGCTACATTGCCGTTGCAATTGGTAACAAGGTGCAGCTGTGGCGCACTCCTGGTCTTGTTCGGGAATTTGCTCCGTTTGTGCTGCACCGCACGTATACTGGACATTACGCAGATGTGGTGAGCGTGTCGTGGTCGCACGACGCCAAGTTCTTCGTCACGGGTGCTGAGGATCTGTCAGCGCGTGTGTTCTCAGTGGACCCGTACCCAGGATTCAAGCCATTGACGCTCTCGGGTCACCGCGATGTGGTCGTTGGCGCGTTCTTCGCGGAAGATGACAGATCAATTTTCACAGTTGGACGGGATGGTGGCGCTTTCGAATGGAAATACAAATTACCAGATGTGGAGATGCTGGAACGGACCTCAGAGGAGAGCGAGGGGGAGGAGGAGAATGATGAGAAGGAGGACAAGGAAGGTGACGGTGCCAGCAGCGATGACAGCGACGACAGCGACAGTGAGGATGAAAGTGCTAGCAAGAAGCGCAAGCGTAAACTGTCCGAAGAGCAGGAATCTATCCCGGAAATTGCCCGTGCTACTAAATGGTACACTTGCCAGAAGCACGTGCTCAAGATGGACTTCGCCAAGGTGCTGTGTTGTACCTTCCACTCGTCCACTGGCATGCTCGTGGTTGGTTTTGGCAACGGCACATTTGGTCTGTATGAACTGCCTGCATTTGTGAACATCCACACGTTAAGTGTCACGCAGAACGAGTTGGAGACGGTAGCAGTGAACGCCACAGGCGAGTGGCTGGCCTTTGCGTCGCGTAAACTAGGTCAGCTGCTGGTCTGGGAGTGGCGATCGGAGACGTACGTGCTCAAGCAACAGGGCCACTACTTCGACCTTAACGCTGCGAGCTACTCACCAGACGGACGCTTGCTTGCCACAGGAGCCGACGATGCCAAACTCAAACTTTGGGACACAAACAGCGGCTTCTGCTACGTCACCTTCACAGAGCACTCGGCCCCGGTGACAGCAGTGCAGTTCGCTCCCTCTGGCCAAGCCGTTTTGAGTGCGTCGCTGGATGGTACCGTGCGTGCGTTCGACCTGAACCGGTACAAGAACTTCCGCGTCCTCACCACCCCAGAGCCCACACAATTCCTCTCACTAGCACTGGATCCGAGTGGCCAGGTTGTCTGTGCTGGTTCCATGGACCCGTTCAACGTGTACGTTTGGTCTTTGCAGACTGGACGTCTTACAGACGTCCTCAGTGGCCATACAGGCCCCGTAACTTCGCTGTCTTTTTCTCCTTCGTCCTCTGCGGAGCCTATTCTGGCATCGGCATCGTGGGACCATACGGTGCGTCTGTGGAATCTGTTTGCTAGCAAGAAGAGCTTCATCGAGCCCCTCGCCCACCCCACGGACGTACTGGCTGTTGCCTTCCGTCCGGATGGTAAACAACTGGCTTCGACTACACTCAACGGTGCGATCAACATTTGGGACGTCAAGGATGGTGAGCAAGTTGGTACGATTGACGGAAAGCGCGACATTGCTGGTGGTCGTAAGGAAGGAGATCGCATCACGGCTGCTAACAACCAGTTGACCAAGCACTTCACGAGTGTTTGCTACTCGGCTGACGGCTCGCTTCTGCTTGCCGGCGGACGCTCCAAGTTTGTGTGTATCTACGCAGTGGAGCCGCAGATTTTGCTCAAGAAGTTCCAGATCTCACACAATTTGTCGCTTGATGGCATCTTGGAGAAGCTTAACAACAAGAACGTTACTGAGAGCGGTCTCAGTAAGACTGAACTGGATGCTCATCTGGATGACTCGGAGGCTTCAGGTCGCAATGCTGGTGACAGTCTGGTAGGTGCAAAACGTGCTGTTGATCCCGGTAGTCGTCGCAAGAATATGGAGGTGCTGTCCAAGGCGGTTCTGTTCTCCCCGACGGGGCGTGCTTGGGCTGCTGCGACCACGGAAGGCTTGCTGATCTATGGGCTGGATGAGAGTCTGGCCTTCGACCCGTTTGAATTGGACGAGGATATCACACCCGAAACCATCACACAGACCCTGGCACGCCGCGAATACGCTCGTGCCTTGGTGATGGCGCTGCATCTGAACGAGGAACCGCTTATTGCTCGATGCGTGGAGGGTGTTCCTATCGCTAGCATCCCGCTAGTGGCACAGACTCTGCGTGGTGATATGTATCTGCAGCGATTGCTACAGCTGCTCGCCAAGCGGATGGAGCGTAGTCCACATCTCGAGTTCTACCTTCAGTGGAGTCTTGCAGTGCTTAACACTCATGGCCAGACTTTGCGTGATGACCCGTCGAGCAGTGCTACGTGTCTGCCGACCCTGCGTTCGCTGCAGAAGAGCATTGCACGCCATCTGCAGGACCTCGCCAAGATGTACGCTGATGTCGTCCTTGATGAGAATTGTGTGCTTAGTACTGACAGTTTTGTGTTTGTTTTTGCAGTTGTGATGACAACCAGTTTACGCTCAGTTACCTCAAGAACCTTAGCAAGATGCAGCAGATGCAGAAGACCCAATAGATGGCAGTGCGCCGGAAAGATCGCTAGTTAATTCCCGTATCTGTTGAAGGATAGTCTTCATGGTCATCAAGCTGGAATGACATGGGATCGAAGTAATAAATAGACTCATTGTGCTTCTCCATGCTGCTCGACGTCATCTGCACAGCTCCTTACACATTCTTGGCAAATCTTTTCACTTGGATGGGTCCTTTGTGCCATTGCTCTCCATGTTACTATCGCCATCAGCTTCAACACTTGGAGTCCACATCTTGATGTCTCGATTGGAGCCCGATACCATCAGTGCGCGAGTCGGATGAGCTGCGAGTGCAAGTACTGGATGGTCGTGGCCGGTCAAGACAGAAGTTACGTCCTGTGAGCCCACATTCCACATGAAAATACGGTTGTCCTCCGATCCACAGGCCACAACTGGCTGCTTGTTCCATTGCTGCTCCAGGAAGGCGCACTGCATGCTGAACTTGCGATTAACATGGCCGCTGTACGTGCGTACACAGATATCGCGCATGTAGTCCCAGAGACGCACCGTGCCATCGAGAGCCGAGCTGAGCACATATCGTCCATTCGGGGAAAACCTCGCACTGCCCACAGGCGCTGCCGGCTCCGTAATAATTGTGCGCAGACACTGACGAGAAGCCACATCCCATACACGCACCAGGCCGTCGTATCCGGCCGTGACCAGCAGCGAGCCGTCCGTCGGGTGGAACTGCACGCTCACCACCGGCTCCTGATGAGCGCCAATGTCAGCAACTGTCCTACCATTACGGACATCCCAGAGCCTCACGTTCTCGTCATGTGAGCCCGTGGCTACCAGCGATCCCTGCGGGTTGAAGGCCACGCAGCTGACAAAACCTGTATGCGACTCCACGGGTGGATCCGTCGCCACAACTCCAGAGCTAATCCCGTCTTCGTCGAGCCCCAAGGTCGTAGAGGACCCCTCCAATAATGACAATGGAATGGTGAGGGCAGCGTCCAAGCTCCGGTGGGTGGCGCCTAGCGTGGCTAGCGTCTTGGCCGTTTCCACATCCCAAAGTCGCGCCGTGCGGTCGTCTGAAGCCGATGCCAAATGCCGGGAGTCTGGCGACCAACAGGCATCAGATACTCCAGCCTCGTGTCCGTATAGTGAGGCCTTGGGCGACGTCTCCAGCTCGTTCGTGGACGTCAAACGCCAAATTTTAACTGAGGAATCGGCGGCTGCAGGTAGAAGGCGTTAAGAGGGGTATGTATTGAGGTATTGAGAGAGCGTGGCAGGTGTACATACATGAGGAAGCTAGGAGACCCTTATCAGGTGAGAAGGAGAGGCTGGATATGGGTTTGGCGTGCACGGAGAGTGTCTGATGCGCGCACCAAGCTGCCGGTGGTGGTGTCATGATCGGGTATTGTTTATGGCGAATAACAGCTATAACAACATTTGTTAAGAACAGTGACCAATATTTGGTCTAATTTTTGGTCCTTTGATTTTCGAGAACTTTGTACGGTATCCGTCATTTTGATTTTTTTTTCCCACAGACCATGGAGTCACGTTTCGAGGTGCTGGAAGAGGAGACGCACTACCCTGCGACGCACCCCAAGAGCGTCGATAAGCAGGCAAACAACCAGCCAGAAGTGGCGCTCGAAGAGAAGGAGGAAGAGACGCTGGAGCAGCAGCTAGAACGTCTCGTGCTAAGCGTCAAGAACGACGACGAAACTGAGGAAGCGCAAGGAGACGAGAAAGATGCTTCTATAGACAACACGGAGAACGTGAAGAAGGCGTCGGGCGCCAAGGAGCTTGGTAACAAGTGCGTCACAATAGTTTAAATATCTTCATTGCAAAAACGGTTATTAACAATAATTGTACTCCAGATTTTTCTCGCGAGGTAGCTACCTGGACGCCATTGAGTGCTACACAACGGCGCTAAAACTTTGCCCAGCCGAGGAGGAATATGCATACAACCGGGTACATTATTTTGATTTTTTTTTTTTGCCATATTGGTGTTTTCAATTAACATTCTTTGGGCCATTATTCATGCAGGCGGTGTACTTTAGCAACCGGGCTGCGTGTCTGATGCATCTGGGACGGACTGAGGAGTCAGTGGACGACTGCACGCAGGCCGTGACGCTGTCGTCTACATACGTGAAGGCGCTCTTACGGCGAGCGGAGGCGCTCGAGAAGTTGGATAGACTGGAGGAAGCTCTGGCAGACTATGACACCGTACTGAAGATCGACCCGACGGTGCGGACGGCGGTGAAGGGCCATGAGCGACTACAGAAGATCGTACACGAGCGGCAGGAGAAGATGAAGGCGGAAATGCTGGACAAGCTTAAGGGATTCGGTAATACGATCCTGGGCAAGTTCGGGCTAAGCACCGACAACTTCCAGATGGTACAGGACCCCGCTACGGGATCGTACAGCATTAACTTCCAGCAGAACCCAGGACAGCAACAGCAACAGCAACAGCAGAAGTAGACAACGAGTCATACGCGTATAACGTGGTTCTGTTAAAAAAAGTTGACTTCTGGCCCCAGTTTAAAGTGCCCGGTTCTACTTCTTCTTGCCTTTCTTGCCTCCTTTCTTGCCGCCACCTCCTTTCTTGTTCTTTGCGACCATCTTTGCATATTCTCGGCGGCAAAGAACCCCGCGGTAAACCTTTTGGATCCTGGTAGCCGCGTTGAAAATCATCTATGCACACAAATACAAGCGACTTAGCTTCTGTTTCATTCAAAATACCACAATGTCCACGTGCCATTTGCTTCTCACGCTCGCGTGCTCGGATTTCATCCAATACGTGCTCCTCGGCATCAATTCGAGATTGCTCCTCATCGATCTACCAACATACAACGCATGAGATTTTTATGAAAATTTGTAGTAACAGAATGAAGATGCTCACCTTGAGAAAGTGTTCATTGAACTGCTCACATTGCTCGCGTTCCTTCCGGAAGGTCTCTTCCAGTGCGACTAGTTCGGCTCCCATGGCCTCCATCTCACTGTCAAACTTCTCCACCACTGCTGCAACCTCGGCAGCCATCTTACACTTCTTCTTGCGAAGTGCATCTTCTTCTTCCTGATGTTCCTGAACCATCTTACCAGCTCGCAACTCTAACGCAGAAGCTTGATCCAACAACGTCTTCATTTCTTCTGAGTGTTGGTCATGCGCCTTGGATTGTGCCTCCTTGAGATCGCTCTCGATCATTGTTAGTTCATGCGAAGCAGTCTATCAGGACAGTGACAGATACGTGAACACCGAGGTAAAATCTATAACACTTGGAGCAGCTCAGTACCTGATTGATCGTATGCAGTTCGGTTCGCAGCTTTTGCACCTGTGCATCCAATAGAGCCACCTCTTCCTCCTTGGTTTTCCGCATCTCGGTTAGTTTCTCTCGAATAGCCAAGCGTTCATCTTCCGCTTGCTTCATGCGACTTTCAGCCACTGCCATGAGCTCCTTTTTGGATTTGGCATCTTCCAACGTCTTGTCCAATTGTGTGTGCGTGAGATCCGTAAGCTCAGACAACGCCTTCACCAGCATTTGCAAGTCCTCGGATCGATCGTGAGCTGTTGTGCCCTTATGGTATAGCACCTCCACAGCCACTGGATTTTCGCGCAGGTCTCGACAAAGAGCTCTTGCTGTCACTCGAACTTGATCAGCAATGTCATCTTGACGATTGTCCATTGCTTGGGTAGCCTGATGATAGAGCTGCTCCCAACGCCAATGTTCACGTAACAGCTCAGCAGAGTTGAGGCAACGACTCTCACGCAGCGATTCAAGAAGCGAGTTTTGCGGCTCAAGTGGCACATACGTGAGGTAGTTGAGGCGATCCAGAAGATCGCCCATGACTGCCATCATGCGCTGCGACTCGACATTGGTTAACTTCTGCATTGGTGAAGTTTATTAGCACGGTTTATCGAGAACGGTCTTCATGAAGAGCCGCGAAGCTATAGCGAGAGTTTTTATACTTTTTTTCTGGTTGTGGTCAAACACGAGCAGATCGACTCGCTTCTCGAAATTTGCTGAAGTTGTACTTCGTATTTCGAGGCCGTAAGTAAGTGTAGTGCAAGAGCGAGTAGAATGCAACAGTTTTCATGATTTATCAGCACTCGTTGAAAAAACATTTACCATAACGTTTCGCATCTTCAGCGACGCCGACACTTAAGACGTGCACTCCTTGCCTTCAGTACCGTCGGCAGGAATGTACCAGCAGTGTTTCGTTTGCACTCCACCGGCAGTCGTATCGCTCATGGTCGACCCGAACGACCACGAGTTGTCAGCCGTGTGGTATTGCACCTTCAGCCATTCTTCCGACGCCTCCAGCGAGAAGAAACCGTACTCGTCACCAGTGTACGTCCACACGTTAGTAGCATACTTGGCTGCGTACGTCGTAAGACCACTGGCAGATTCCTTCTGAATACCACCACCAGCTCCGTTCTCCACGAAATGCACGCCCAGCGACTCCGAGTAGTCATGCTTCTCACCGTGCGTGTGGCCGTAAACCCACGCGTGAATACCAGAACCCTCCAGGATGTCAAACCACTCCTGCATACCCTTCTCGTCGTAGTGCACGTGGGGGCTGTAGTGGCTGTTGACAATCTTCCACGTTGCAGTGGACGTCGCTACCTTCTCAGCAAGTTGCTTGCGCGAGTCATCACTCCACTCCTTGAACTTGGCAAAGCACGCGTCGTACATATCCGTGTCACCCCCAGCGCAGAATTCATGTCCACGTGCAACACCCTTGCACGAATCGTCATCACCTTCCGAGTAGGCAAAACACTGGCAACACACCTGGAGAGCAGCGTGCACGTCGGCATCGCCAGTGTCTACATTGAAGATATCAATGCTAACACCCGAGTCTTCGTCTTCAATCGAGTAGACGTAGAAGTGGTCCTTCAGCACCCAGCGGTTGTCGTTGGGGCTCGTGTACTCTTGCTGCCACTTGAACTTGTTCTCCAGACCCTCAACGATTTCATCAGCACTTTTACACTTGGCGTTTTCATCACCTTTCGAGCAGATGAAGCTACCACCACCGTAGTCGTGGTTACCCACAACGTTCACGAAGGGGATTGTAGCTAGGTTATCGCCACTGAACTTTTTCTCGAAAGTCGTGGTGAAACGCGAATCGCGTCCTTCCTCACTGTTAATACCAGTCCAGTAGAAGTTGTCACCGTGTCCAAGGATAGCCTTGGGCTTGATGTCGGCATTGCCCGCTTGTGTATTCATGAGGCTGGCTACGACATCTTCTGCCACGATATCGAAGTTGGTGTAAGTGTCGGAGCGCGTGCAGCATGAGTCCTGGTAAATGGTCGTTCCCCAGTCACCGACGGCAAACGCTGCCAAAGAAAACTTTGCTATTTAGCGTTACAAAGAGGAACACGTTAGTTTTGGTTTCTAGTCGGTCATTTTAAACAAGTGTCACTCGTACCGGAGGTTGGGTCAGAAGTGATTGAGCTTGAGCGTGAACTTGTGCTGTTGCCCTTCTTGGACGGCTTGCTCGTACTTCCAGATGAAGTGGTGGTCGAGCTGTCGCTAGTGCCACCAGATACATTTGAACCAGAGCCGGAGCTAGCAGTCCCTGACGACTCGGTGGCGGAGCTGCTGCTGTCTGACTGGCGAGTCACTATCACTGCAGCGATGACACCGATCACTGCGATGACCACCACAACACCGGTGAGCTGGGCCTTCTTGGACAGCATGGTGCCAACTTAAGCAATGGGTTCTGTAGGAGTACCGCTACAACTGCGGTATGTCGTGTAGTGCTGCGGAAAAGCTGAACGCCCCCTCTTCGGCAAAAGTTGGAATGATAGGGCTGTTCTTTAGTGAGGACGTGGCAACACAAGCAGTTGAAAGCCTATCCCAAACGCAAGCATCCGTACCGTCTGGCTCTCCATATTTTAATCGATTCAATCTCAGATTACCACAACTGATCTGCTCTCATCAAAACATGAATCTTTTCATGGTCGACTCCGGTAGAGTGCACCTAGAAGGGTTGCTGCTACACATGATGTTCATGCGGTTGTATTCCACCGAATTCCTAGTGCATTCAAAAATCCATCCAACATCACCATGGAAATACGCACGCAAGCTAATACGTCAAACGAATGCTCTAACCTTAAAGCTTGCACAATGCGAAACACGATTTACATGTTAGTCACGTCAACTTTTTTATGGCCATTTTTCAGGCCTTCAAAAAATCAGTTTATATTTTAAATTCTCTAGAATCTGGTTTTTCCGGAAGCTGTTGTAAATACTAGCGAATAGGAGTGCTTTACGTTCTGTACAAGTGAAATTCACAGCGAAAATATAATTTATTGAATAATGATACCATATTGAATTTAAAATGACATTCAAAGGTTTATGCGTTGTACTAGTTTTTTCTTGATAAACATTTTCAAATAAAGGAATTTTCGCTCACCAGAACTGCATAACAGAATTTCCTTCTCAAAGAATTTTGCCACTAGCATTTCTTAATTGAATTATTGTTTTTCAAAAGCATAAACTCGATTAGCTGCGAAATTCTCTGAGATTTATTTCAGAGTCTACCCCCTCGAAAACTTCATAATTATATGATCCTATAGAGGTAACCTCTTTAAATCAATACGCTTGATATATTCGTAAGACTAATACCCTAGTAGACATTTGCAAAACATCTCTGTAAATTAAAGTGTAACGTGTCTGTGTTTAGCCCTGCACGCCGAGCTTTGGTCGACCAGCGCCGATCGGTCCAAGAATCCGTTGGCTGTCGGTAGGAAACTTTCACTACCCCGTCGGTGTATATCGTACTGACACACGACCTATTTGTATTCCGTTTCGTTTACAATTGTAGGCTACGACTAGTTAGCTACGCCAGCCGTGATCCCTACCGTCCGTCCGTCCGTTCGTCCGTTCAATTCGTTCGTCGATGTCCAAGCACAAGTTGCCACCCGTTGACCACTTGGATTCAGCACCGAGAGTGCGTCACCCTACTCGTCGCAGTCGTCAAGAAGCTCGGAGACCGTTGCCTCCTGCTCGTCCTTGTCCGCCTTCCGTCCGTCCAACTGGCCCAGTACTCGTACACCGGCGTGTCCGAGTCCTAGTCCGTCCACCGTTCGTCCGTCTGTCCGCTGTTCGTCCGCTATCCGTCGTTGTGCGAGATTCTGTCGAGTCCCGGTCGTCACTTGGTCGCGTTTCGTGCTGGTGAGCTCGTCTGTGCTCCACCTGCCCCGATGCCGTCCAATTCGCAAGTGAGACCTGCTGGGTTTCGTCCCAGTGGAATTCGAAGCTCTCACCACCCGTCGGTCCCCTAGTTTCGTCTGGCGTGGCGGTCTTGGGTCACCCATCAGCTGCTTCGGGGTGGTCCTCCCTGGGTTCACTCGCTTCCGTGGAATGGCACCCATGCCTACTTCAATACCCGGCAACGCTTTGCTTGTATCAGCACACTGAGCCTCATTACAAAAGGGTGAGAGTGTCCGAAAATCTTATTTATTAGTGTACTAAAGTTGCGGGTATTTTTTTATTGCGAGCTCTCATTATTTATACCTGCGTTGTTTTGGAATCATCCAAATGCATGGCGATCCTGTTGGGGACGGTCCAATCTTCGCGCAATAGGCAGCTGCATTTATCTCGTTATTTATTTTTGCGTTTTGTTTCAGAGTTAAATACAATAAACGGCTTACTCCATAGTGCTATTTACCTAATGATTTGAACACGGGATTAGTTGGGCCCTGGATTTACACAGACCTCTTTGGCAGAACTAACCGAAGTTTGGCAATTTTTGCACATCTGACCAGGACTGTTCATACAGTTTACTGAAGAATAGGCCGAAAAAAAGCTTAAGCAATAGGAGACTAGAATAAAGCGCTGACGTCCTCACAGTCGACAGAAAATGACGAAGAGAAACAACGCAATAAGGAGATGCCGACTTCGTGTCCACCTACTGGGCCAGCGGTAGATCCTCCGGGAAGTAGCCAGTTCATTCAACTGCATCTGCTAAAGCGAGTAGTGGTTGAGTTAGCATGGCGACTAACCCACGATTGCTGTAGCGATCTGTTGATGGTGTTGCAGCGTTTTGAAGCGTTGTCTTCATGGGTCAAGCGTATTACGTAAGAAATGGAGACGATCAACACAGAATGGCCTCTAGTTCTGCTACAGCACAACGGCATTGCAGACTGACTAACCCCTAATCGTCATTCTCTACTAACGAAGCGAAAGAAACGTGAAGTTTGCTTATCCGAAACTCTTCATTGCATGACGAATGTCTACAGTGCTACCACATTAACACTTGGCAGGAGTCGTATCAACGTCTCCTGTCGGCTGTAGTTGTGGTAGCGCTGCAAATAGCCGTCAGTGAATAGCACATCGCTGTAGAAAATAACTGCTTCGAATTCAACCACTTGAGTTGCAGTAAACTTGCCAGGGTAGAGATTTCAAAGCTTCTCCGTGCGCAGCACGATTTTGTCGATTAGTCTATTTTAGACTCGACTATCTCAAAACCTCGTTGTCGAAGTCAATGGGCGCGATGTCGATTGAAGTATCTTATTGAGCGTGCTGACTCCCTTTTGACCAATCAGCTGATAAGAAGGAATTGACGTTAGTAAATCAACAGCAAGGTTCCAGTTCACATTATCAAATGTCGAATCTAGTAGACATCGTGTGCTGTACTTAGAGATTCGAAATGCCTTAAAATTTCACCGCTCACTTCATAGCAAGAGAGATCCACTGACTGGCACTAAATTCATTCTACATATCTACCCGTCCTCTACAAACAGAGGCATCCTGTCATTTTCTTGCTCTCTGTTGGTCAGCTTCTTCCGCTTAGGTGAGACTCCCTCCAGCCAACTCGTAAAATATGGCAAGAGATATCATGATACACATAAGTTTAGGACAACGATACAGTGGACGCTAAGCCGGTAGCACAACGCGTATGCAGGGTGGCACCGCAGTTCCGTGGCATACTGTTCGACTTGATCAAGGGCCTGTTGTCCGCTAAGATCATTAGGATGTCTAGCTCTCTGTGGGCGTCGCCGATTGTGGTGGTAATCAAGAAGAATGGCGTCGACATCTGACTCTACATTGATTACCGCGTCGTAAACAGCTTGACGAGCCTCATGGTGTACCCCATGCCGCTGATCAACGATCGGCTCGAAGACTTGACAAGGTGCTCTGGTACTGTTCGCTGGATATGGCGAGCGGATTCTGGCTCGTGAAAATGGCTGAGAGAGCCCGCCTGGTGTCGGCCTTCACCACACCATTCGGCCTGTTCGAATGGCTGCGCATGCCCTTTGGGCTGAAGAACGCACCACAAATTTATCAGCGACTCTTGGACAATGCGCTGTACGAGCGATCAATCCGGCGCGGCGGACGTATTCCAGGTTGGTGAACCGGACACGGACTCTGGATCGCCGGCGCTTGATTGTCGATCGTACATCGACGACATCTTGGTGACTGCTGAGCCCTGGGACTCTCTCTCCGACAAGGTATGGACGCGTGTGACCGGTGGAACTTGTAGATCAGCGTGGTGAAAAGCTTTTGGAGATGCCACAAGGTAGACTACCTAATACATCGCGTATCGGCGGATGGCCTCGAAACTCACCTGAAGAACTTGGAGACACTGACGACTCTGCCTTTCCCAGGAACGTTGCTATCGATACAGTCCTTCCTCGGAAGCCTCAACTACGACAGTAGGTGTATCGAGGACTTCGCGATATACGACTCGATCCTGTACGAGCTGCGAGAAGTCGACTTCCACGAGAATCGGAACCCAGGTCAAAAGACTGGGGACGAAGTCCAGTCCAATGAGAAGGAGCAAATCTCGCAGACGGGCGAAATGAACAAGTGGGATCGGGCGCAGGCGACGTTTGAGATGTTGAAGAACAAGATCGCGACGGTGCCCGTGCTGCGCCATTTTGATCCAGATCGGATGTCTGTTGTCGTGGTATATGGTATCGATTGGGCGATCTCCGCAGCCTTAGTGCAAGAGCAATATGCCGGTAGCATTCACCAGTCGTACGCTGAAGCCCAACGAACTCAACTATGGTATGGTCGAAAAAGAGATCCTGGCTCTTCTCCGGATCCTGGACGCGTGCTACTCCACGCTGGGCACGAGGCCAAACAAGTTTTTAACGCGGCACTCCACTCTAGCGTGGCTGATGCGATCTTTGGGACTCCAAGGCAGACTAGGCAACTGGGCGGCGCTGCTATCCCCCTGAACACTCGAGATTGCCAAGTGTACACGCGACGAAGATGAGATCCTGGGTACGAATCCGGCGAGCATCACGCCCCGGGAAAGTGTCGACTCGATCTTGTCGTCTATCGCGCCGAGGAAGCAGCCACGCCAGCTGATTCCAGCGGTGCTACCTACGGTTGAACAAGGCGAAGAACTGTTAGTCGCGAGTTTCGATGGATCGGCACGAGTCAAACGAGGCGGTGGAGCGTGTAGCGCTATTGTCTGGAAGTTACCTGAATGAATCGTCGTCGCAGCAGACTCGAAGTACTTGCCCGACCTAACGGTGAATGAGGCGGAGTACCAGGGCCTGTTGTTAGCCTTGATCTACTCTCCAGCTTGGCCCGGGGACGCCTGATCATCTGCGGGGACTCCAACTTGGTAATACGGCAGATGCGAGGTGAGATCGAGTGCAAGGCACCAGGCCTGACTCCTCTTCGTCAACGGGCATTAGATCGGCTGAGAATGCGGCCAGCTCACGAGTTCCTGCATGTCAAACGAGATTGGAATCAGAGCGCGGATCGGTTGGCCAGCACAGCATTGAATCAGCAAGAAGGCGCAGTAGTTACATCGGAAGCGGATCGCGACGATCTGGCTGTCCTTAACCGGTTTCAGGAACTTCTGCTCCCGAAGGACGATGGGCCTGTCGCCCGGATTGCCGCGGTGACCCGATCGCGAGCACGCTTGGAGAGCTCGCCAAAAGTGCTGCAGTTGATTGTGGTACAACGCATCAGGACGGACGGGATTCTACGAGCACAGAACGAGGAGAAGTGGATCATAGACCTCAAGGCGTACCTGCCAGGCAACTTGGAGAGGCTAGATGCTAGTGAGGCGCGAGCTTGCGGCAAAATCACGCGCGACTACGATGTTGACGAAGGTGGGCTGCTGCTTTACTGTCATCGCGCAGGAAGAGACGACGGTGACCGCGACCGGCTGGCGAAGCTGGTGGTACCGGAAGACCTGCAGCAAGATGTACTCCACCATTATCATACGAGTCTGGAGGAATGACATCAGGGGTCGGAAGAACGTACCAGCGCGAGCTCGATGAAGACGAGTACGAGGTGAAGCGGATTGCTGATATGCGCTCGAGCAAGAAAACCCGATACAGTCGCACTCGACGCGAGTACCTGATCTTCTGGAGAGGCTATGCCGAGCCGTCGTGGGTCGACGAGACCGATCTCAGCTGTGGAGCGTTGCTGAGCGACTTCGAGCGGGGGCGGACAGATCGCAACCGTTTTGAAGCGATGCAGTCGCATGAGGAGTGGTGG